CCCCTCTTTCGACTTTTCAATTTGGATCAGAGCAAGGCTCACACTTAGCTTTTTTGCTTAACAGCTTGTGAGAAAAGATCATGGCAAATCAAGTTATCATAGGAGCCCTCTTCCAAGAAGGAACGTCCCAAGTGAGGCCACCATACTTCAATGGATAATATTTCTCCCACTGGAAAGTACGTATGGAAATATATGCAAAGTCTTGTGATGTTAAAGTGTGGAGAGTTATCAAAAAGGGAAACAATTCTCTGCCGGCTGCTGCTCAACCGATCCTGAAGATATAGATTCATATACAGATGAGCAAATGACAGTTGTGCAAGTCAACAACAAGGCAAGAAAATTGCTCTATAATGCTATAAGGGGTGAAGAATATGAAAAAATCTACAGTTGCAATACAACCAAAGAAATGTGGGACAAGCTTGAAGTCACATACGAAGGAACTAGCAAAGTGAAGGAAACACATATCAGTATGTTGGTTCACGATTATGAATTATTCCAGATGAAAGAAATAGAATACATTGAGGAAATGTTTTCCATATTCAATAAAATCATTAGCGATCTAAAAGCTTTTGGCAAACCATACTCAAGTGGTGATCAAGTTAGAAAGATTCTTAGAAGCTTACCAACCACTTGGCAAACTAAAGTAGTCACATTTGAATAACAGGATCTGAATAAATTGTCTTATGATGAACTTCGTGGAGAACTCATAGCTTTCGAAAAGACACATCTCAAGAAAACAAACCAAGAAGAAAAGAAGAAAATAGTTGCATTCAAGGCCACAACTGAGATAGCTGAGAATGATATCGATGATGATCCTGAAGCTCTTCAAGAAGAAATTGCTATGGTGTCAAGAAACATGGATTGTTTAATGAGAAGATCCAAGAATACGAGAAGAGGAAGAATCCCACCTAGGCGAACCAGGCAATACAACGAACAAGATAAGAATCATGGAAAATGGTATGAGTGTGGAAGATTTGGACATATTCAAGATGAGTGTCCAGATCTAAAGAGAAAAATCTCCAGAGGTTTCAACAAAGACAAATCATTTGGAAGCTGGAGCGATGAAGACAGTTCAGAACATGAAGAAATAGCAAATCTTTGCTTCATGATAATTCTGGAAAATGATATGAACAAATTCTCAGGAAGCTGGAAAGATGAGGACACTTCAGATGACGAATGCAAAGATAACAATGAGAATTGCTTCATGGATCGAGGTGAAACAAGCGAGGTAAGGTCTTATAATTGTGAAAGATGTAATAAATTGCAGGATATTCTTGATCTCAGTTTCAAAGAGTCTCAAAAAATGACGAATGAACTAAAGAGACTCAACAAAGAAGTAAAAGACTGGAAACTCAAACATGAAGTATGTGAAATCGAAAGAGAAGTACTTCAAGAAGAGTTTGAGGAATTGCAAATGCAACTTAATGGCATGCGCTACTCCACCAGTCATAGTTCTATCAGGTCAAACCAGGCGACTTACAAGTCAACTGGAAAAGGACCAGTCAAAACTGAGTCTACTAGTACTAACACACATGAAAGACCCAAAAATGGGTCAGGAATTACGTGTCACTACTGCAATAAAAGTGGACATAAATATTCTTTCTGTCAATTTCGTAAATCAAATATTTAAGGATGGATTTGGAAACCCAAAAACAATCCTGAACATAGTAACACTAACCAACCAGGACCCAAGCAAGCTTGGGTACCTAAAAGAAAGTAATCTCTATGTTTTGCAGGAACACCACAGAAGAAGTCGAAAAGGAAAATGGTACTTAGGCAGTGCGTGTTCCAGTCACATGACAGGTGATAAAAATCTGTTCAAGGAAGATACAAAAATAGATAGAGGAAGCGTTAAATTTGGAGATGACTCAAAAGGAAAAATAATCGGTACCGAAAAAATTCCCTTCAATAACAACTGTGATATCATTGAGGTTTATCTAGTTGATGGGCTTAATTACAATCTTCTGAGCATAAGTCAGCTATGCAATTCAGGATATGAGGTAAAATTTAAGAAAATAGATTATGCTATTAAAGATGAGACGGGTAAAACAATCCTCCCAGGTAAAAGGTATGGAAACGTTTACATTCTCGATGGTTTTGAAAATATAAATGGTCATATCTGTTTAACCTTCATATCTGATGATCCCTAGTTATGGTATAGGAAACTTGGTCATGCAAGCATGCATCTGATAGAAAAACTTTCAAAGCATGAGTTAGTTATTGGCTTGCCTAAACTGAATTTCTCTAGAAATCATATATGTGATGCTTGTCAAATTGGAAAACAAACTAGAAACTCTTTCAAAAACAAGGATATCATATATACTTCTAAACCTTTGCAACTGCTTCATATGGATTTATTTGGACCTACTAGAACTGCTAGCATAGGAGGAAAACGATATGCTTTTGTTATTGTTGATGATTACTCACGTTTTACTTGGGTAATTTTCTTATCTCATAAAGATGAAGCGTTAAAAAACTTTGAGGTGTTTTGTAAGAAGGTCGAAAGAGAAAAGGGATACCTGATTACAAAAATCCAAAGTGATCATGGAGGAGAATTTGAAAGCAGAGCATTCGAAATTTTTTTTATGACCAAGGATATACTCATAACTTCTCTGCACCAAGATCACCCCAACAAAATGGAGTGGTGGAAAGGAAAAATAGAACACTACAAGATATGGCAAGAATGATGCTACTAGACCATTCACTACCAAACCATTTCTGGGCAGAAGGAGTAAGTACAGCATGTCACATCCTCAACCGATGTCTCATAAGGCCTATTCTGAAGAAAACTCCTTATGAACTGTGGAAAGGTAAAAGTCCTAATATTAGTTACTTTCATCCCTTTGGAAGTAAGTGTTTCATTCACAATAACGGTACGGACAATCTTGAAAAATTTGATCCAAGAAGTGATGAAGGTATTTTTCTGGGTTATTCATTAAATAGTAGATCCTTTAGAGTGTATAACAAATGCACAATGTGTGTGGAAGAATCTGTGCATGTTACATTTTATGAAAATAACTCCACAGTCAAGAAAGGAATAATTGCAGGTTATGAAGATCCAATTCAAGAAGGACATGAGACAAGCAAATCGCAAAAGTCGACTGATGGATCTGACGCTGTGATAGAGTCAACTAATGAAACCCAGCAACAGTCCACCAGAACCTCCAAAGGAGTCGACTACTCATACAGTTCGCCTAAATGAATGGAGAGGTGAACCTGAATATCCTCAAAAATTCATCATAGGAGAACCAAATGAAGGAATGAAAACCAAGGGAGCTCTCAAGAAGAAAACAAACATAGCACTGATCTCTCAGATTGAGCCAAAGAAAATAGAGGAAGCTCTTAAAGACTCAAGCTGGATGAAAGCGATGCAGGAAGAGCTAGATCAATTCGACAAAAACCAAGTATGGAATCTGATACCCAAACCTGAAAACGTTACTGTAATAGGAACAAAGTGGGTCTTCAGAAATAAGCTAAATGAGGGTGCAAAAGTCGTAAGAAACAAAGCCAGATTAGTTGCTCAAGGATATTCACAACAAGAAAGAGTCGACTATGACGAAATCTTTGCCCCAGTAGCTCGACTGGAATCTATACGAATTCTTTTAGCACATGCATCCTTTAAAGGATTCAAGTTATTTCAAATGGATTGTAAAGGTGCCTTTTTAAATGGCTTCATTGAAGAGGAAGTATATGTGAAACAACCCCTTGGGTTTGTAGACTCAAAGTTTCCCTATCATGTGTATAAGCTAACTAAAGCATTGTACGGACTGAAACAAGCTCCACGAGCATGGTACGAAAGATTAAGTTCTTTTCTTATTGATCATGGGTTTACAAGAGATAAAGTAGATACTACTCTGTTTATTAAAAGATCATCAGAAGGTAATCTCATTATTCAAATTTATGTTGATGATATTATATTTGGTGGTACAAATCCACTTATGTGCAAGGAATTTTCATATCTTATGAAAAGTGAGTTCGAAATGAGCATGATTGGAGAACTAACGTTCTTCCTTGGACTCCAAATTCAAAAATCTGATGAAGGAACATTCATATGTCAGACTAAATACACAAAGGAGTTGATCCAAAAATTCGGTATGAGCAACGCCAAAGTTATTGGCACACCAATGAGTCCTTCAACAAGTCTCGACAAAGACGAACATGGAAAGTCTGTTGATGAAACTAAGTATCGTGGAATGATTGGTTCTCTTCTTTATCTAATTTCTAGTCGATAGGATATTATGTTTAGTGTTTGTAAATGTGCCAGGTTTCAGTCAGTTCCTAAGGAATCTCACATGACTGCAGTAAAAAGAATTATTTGATATCTCATTGGAACTGTCGCTCATGGATTATGGTATCCTCGCTCTAATTATTTTAAATTAGAAGGTTTTTCAGATGCTGATCTCGTAGGTGATAATGAAGACAGAAAAAGCACAAGTGGAACATGTCAATTACTTGGCAAAGCATTGATATCTTGGAACAGTAAAAAACAAGGATCAGTTGCTGTCGCGCCCCTTTTTCTCGCGAAATCGGGTTTATGACATTTGGTTGGGACAACTCTTCCCTTTTGGGAAAGGGGCTTTGCAATTTTGAAGAGTCTCCACCTAACGATTTTAAGGTGCGTTAGGGCACCTATGGGGTTCAACTACGACTACGTTTGATAACCAAAGATAGGGTAAGGGCTTGAAATTATCCCAAGGGGGAAGTGTTAGGCACCCCTTAGGATCCACTAGTGTGGTTCCCGACCAGATAGTTTTTTGTGAATTTGTGAAATTAGCAAGTAAACAAAAAAGAAGGTCAAATAATAGGGGATTTAAATACACAAGTGTTTGAAAACGATTAAGGAAAGCAAGGTTTTGAAAAGAGTTATAATCTAAGCATGCTGATGAATGTAGAGGGGTCCTAGGTTTGTTTGTAATATGGATCACATCAATGCAATACCCGATAATCACTCCTCAGAAGAGGGGCTAAACGTGGTAATAGCGCACCGGTCATCATATCCATATCTACCCTTCCCACCCCGTGAAGGTATTAAAGCGAGGATTGGTCTCGACCTCTATTGCATGTTGCTACCCGTCCCATTCCTATCAGTCCCGGAGGAATTTAGGACTACTATTCCTATAAGAGGGAAGTTCTAAGCTGACTCTTGGGTTTAAAGGTAAAATGCTAAGGCGACATACAAAACAAGTAGAACTGCATTTAGAGGGGAAACATATAAACAATTAAAAGGCTCATGTATACCTCCGCAAATAATGCATATAAATAGCATGACTTAAACACAGTTAAGGTCTGAATTTTAAATCCTAAAGCAGGGTGTTTGAGTCAGAACCATATTCATTATATAGCTCAGAAAAGATGTCTGAATCAGGCCTGTCTTCTGGTTGTAGCAGTTGATAATTAAACAGAGGCAGTTCCAGTTTTATTTAAGTAATTATCTAAGGCTTGCCTAGGCGTGAACAGGGTTCAGTAGTTATTCAGGGTTGACAGTTGGAGACTATTGTTATTACCTAAACATGTTGTTCTAGGTGTTGAGCATGTAGAAATTATGGCCAATTAGTTGTAAAGACTAAATGAAATTGTTTTATTCCTTTTCATGCATTCGTAATTAGCCTAAGTGTGCTTAAGCGAATATAAGTGAGATCCTAAAGACATGGTATCTAAATGAAAAGAGGTGCAGAATGATGTATATATGCAGAATCCTAAACAGGATTTCTATATGCAAAAATATTACAGTTACTAGGGCATGCAGAGATGATATATTTGTTGTTTAGCCTAAAACAGGATCTCTAGGTGTACATGGCAGTAGGAACATGATCGCAGAAATACCGGTGATTACTACATTTAACGAGGAATTGCTAAGTGAAATGGACATGCTGAAAAATGACAAGTGTAAATCCTAAGGAACAGGATCTCTAATGCATGAAATGAGTCCTAAGCATGGATTCTATTGCGCAAGTAGGAATGTAAACCTATTAACATGCTCTCTACCCTTTTAATAGCTAAAACATGCATATTCCACATCCCTTTTCACTAGCCAAACCATAATGTTTACAAATTATTACAGACCAGATGATTGAATTACAAAAGAAGTGCAGAATAAGAAATTACAACCAAAGGAAGCCTGATCTTGACTTCCTCTATGAGTTATGTAATTAATCACTTCAATGACAACGCTATTCCAAAGCCTTTCTCATATCTGGGTGTGTCAGAGTTCCCTAAGGACCTCAAGGGGGTCCCGGGCAGTGCTCACACCCAGATTGGCATAACCAAACAGAATGAGTGCAGTGTGGAAAGTTCAACTCTTATGTGTCCATGTTCAGAGGGAGCTCAAGGGTCCCAAGGCAAGGCTCACACAAGAGGGGCAGAACCTAGATTCTAAGAATATAGTGGAAGTGCATAACACATGTTGAAAGGGGTTTATTTAAAAAAGCTGGACTGATAGTCCATTTTGAAAGCAATTAGTGACAGAGGTGATTGAAATCAGTTATAAATAAAACTCAAATTCCCAAGATGGGATCACACACAGAATCACAGTCATACAAAGGGGTCAAGGGGTTTGGGACACACATACATCTGACTGTGAACACATAACCCCATTAAGGGTCTTAGGACTAGTTGGACATGCACAGTAATGACTGATAATGGCATGATCGCAGGCTAGTCAGAAAGAGCATAATCACATTGAGGGAATAGGGACTTAGGATAGCAAGTTCATAGTAAGTGACAAATATAAGGGAGTGCATTAATCTAGAAGGGAAAGGGGATATTACAGCATGCTAGTAATGTAACTTGACTGCAGAACCACAAGCAGAAGTAAACAAGAATGATGGAAACTGAAACAATTAAAGAAGCATATTGTTGTTGAGGCTTGAAAAATTAACTAGGACATACTAGTAGAGAAAGCAAGGTGCAGAAAGGTACAATAAGCAGGATTCCACAGTCTAGCTTTGGCTTTCAGCCGGATAGACAAAGCAGTAGCACAAGTAATAAGAGAGAAGGAAAGAGATTTGAGTGTGTAAGTGTGTGTTCTGAACTCAATTGTTCGTCTCCTTTTCTAACGAAAACATTGGGGTATTTATAGCTTTAAAAACGAGTAGAGAATAAGGTAACAAGTAAGGTTTTATCACAGACATGGAAATAATCACAATCAGAATCAATCAACACAAGTACTTCCCTTTAATCAAGGGATTACTGCTCAAACGGATACTAACAGGGTTAATTAAGGAAAGAAATCAGTTTGAGACAGATTGATTTTTGCCATATAAGGGGGTAGTAAAGTATAAGGTAAATAATTGAGTCTAAGTACAAAATATACTTAATTTTGGGAAAGGATTCAAGGTAAAACATCACAGTAATTAAAGGAAGGGAATCAATCAATTTAAACAAATGAGTAAAATTTAGGGTGTACAAGAAAACCTTGCAATTAAACCGTAACTTAAGGAAAGCAAGATCAATGAAGAAGTGGTCACGATTTTGCACTTCAACATATAAATAGCAAGGAATGAACAGGCGTATTAGACATGCAGGGTCAATCATATTTACAAAAGAAGCAATACAAACATATAGTAATAGCAGGAGTAGGCTATGATTCAGTAGTAAAAGAAACCTACTCGGAGCACAGTAGTCAACAAAGTCAAGTGGTCACATAGAATCAGAAGTGAAGAAACCATAGTAACAGGTAAAGGAGATCAACACACAGAAACAAGAAAAGTCTTTAAACTCATAGCAATAAGTGAAGAAAACATTTATAAGGAATTAGGGTTTTGACAGAGCTAAGTTGAAAAGGTAGGAACTCAATCAGATAAGTCAAACAAGATTAAAAAGATTCAAACACAAAGATGCTAATCGAACCAAACATATGTATAAAATAAACAAAGAGAGATTTTCAGAAACCCAGATAGAACCAAAACACTTAGGGTTTTTAACACGATGAACCACGTAGCAGAAAACATGGACAAACTGTTTAAACATAGTAAAATCATAAAACACACTAAAAATTGGAGAAAAGTTTAGGAAACCCTAATTTGAAAATGAAGAGTTATTTTGAAAGAAAATCGAAGAACCTTTGAGAAAACACTAAGAAGTTCATAACATGCATAGATCTAAGACAGATCTGAAAGAAAAATCGAAAAGCTCTTAAAGCTAGGGTTTCAGAGAACCCAGAAAAGTGAGAAAGACTTCGAAAGGTTACCGATCTAGCCGGAA